TCGCAAGCCAGCGGCCTCTGGGGCGGCCGCGTCGCCTGCCCTCGTGGCTTAAAGTAACAGGGAAGGTCACTGGGTCAACTGCGCGGTCAGGGGAAGCAGCTGGGACCCGCACAGGCAGGTGGCCGAGTCCAAAAATGCAGCAATTAGCTTTGCTGAGGGCTGTCTGCTCGGGACCTGCGCTTCATGGGCAGCTCACAGGCTGGAGGGGGTGCTCCGCTCTAATAGCAGGCTCCGTTCCCACCCAGAAGTAGTTTTTTCTGAAAATACGTCCCTTTCTCTGTAGTGTTATTTATATTATACCATTCTCAACACATACAACCAGCTAAGTCATATTTACTTAGTTCATTCCCACTTTCACCTTTCCCCCTTCTTTTTTGCAGATTTGGATCACATTTTCTACCCAGTACTTTCTTCCTTAGAACTACAGCAGTACAGATAAAATAAACAGCTGTCATCATTTTTCCCCAAAATATTCTTTTTAAGTATTTCAGCTAGTTCCCTCCCACTTGGAAGCTCCTTTTTTTCCCATTGAGTTGGTAGGCAAAGGCCATAAGCCTTAATAGTGACATTACGGTATTTGTTTAAAAGCCTCTGTGCAACCAGTGGTATTTCACGTCTGCCCCCACCCCTAAGCATTATATTAGTTGTTTCAAATCAGAGAGGGACACGAAACCTTGACAGTATTTAAAAAAGAGACTGCAAAAGTGGTATTTTACTTTTGCAAGTTAAAAAAAAGAAGTTTTTTTCAAGCTACCGACTATTCCTTTATCAAAAACACTCACATTTTTCTAGCCTCACAGCTTAAAAACTCACCCTTCTGTGACAAACGCTGTGCAAACACAGAGATGTAAAACACACCTTCCGATCGCAGGCAGCATGACAGGTCTCAGCGAAGAGAAGCACGAAAGCAGAAAGGAATGGGGCTACCGAGGGGCATCGCTGGCCAGAGGCTTTGCCCTCTGCTCTCTGCGCGGAGGAGGCAGAGGAGGGCGCCGTGCGTGAGCATCTGCCGTCCGGACGCGGGCAGGGAGCCGCAGGACACCAACAGCTGCTGCTCTGCAGCGTGTTCGGAGCGGCGCTGGCCACGCCGAGCTGTTTTGGCAGCCAGGGTGTAGAGACAGCGTGAGGGATACGGGTGTAACAAAACGATTAATGTTTCATCCTGAAATCAGAGCGTGGCTTGTACTGCAGGGTACGTGACTGCAGGGAGCTGGAGGGAAACATGTAAGTTAGACATTTGGGTGATAGAAGGGCACGCGTGAGGAACGGCTCTGCACGTCTTCCCCTTTCAGTCTCCACCAGCTGCTCTGCTCCAGCCAAAGACTGAAAGGGATAAGCAACAAGACAGGGCTCTGCGGGAGCGTCTCGGGGATCTGAGTGACAAACATTTCAGCTGTGCCTTTCATTTTTGCTTACATCAGTTTTAGCACAGCAGGTCCAACACAGCAACAGTAATTAATTAGCTGGGCCCCCTCTAACCTCCATTTAATTGGACTCAGAGAAGGAGGCCTGGAGGGAGGAGGTCTCTTTTATCAGGCTACGCTATGCAGTTGGCAAAGAGAAACAAAGGGGGCGAGCTGGGCACACCTTTTCTTCTCATGCCAACAGAGGAAACAAGGGATCCTTCCCCAAAGGCTAACTAGCATTCCTACAGAACAGGAAACCACTGTCGGAAACAGAGGCTGCTGGTTCCTAAGGGCCAACCCACAACGTGATTCCCCGGCAGTGCCCACGAGCCTCCCACACACGGCGCTTCCACGTGCGCTTCCGTGTTCCTGGCAATTCCGTTGCGGAAAGCTGGGGATGACCCAAGTGTATGGGAAATCTGCAACAGGCTTTAACAGCATCAAAAGCCAATCCATTATAACCATATCTTCCTTATAATTATCATTATAATTATCTTTTTTATCTTCCTACCAAGGCCATTTGTGTAGCCTAGGTCTCGGTTCAAGTTCATTCCCACCAATCCGTCCAGATTCTATTGGCACTTCCGATCAGCATCCTTGGTTCTGCACAGACTCTCTACATAACATTACATGAATGGTAGCCACTGCAAAGAGAAATTTTCTGTTCTTTTAAAATACATTTCTCCAGAGTTTTTATTTAAAACGAGACCTGAATTGGAAGAGGCACTCTTGTAAAAATCAATAGAAAACACCGAGTTTTAAAGTGAAAAAGACTAAGGCCGTACTGGGTTTTTGGAGGCTAACATTCCATCATCTAGCCTAATAAGAAACTGAGAAACGGAACACAGCCAAGCTTAGAGAATTCCATCTCGTTTACTACTGTGTACTCTGTTTAATTTTAACCTGACCTGGTAAAATGCTTTCTAAGAGTCCTCATCTCACCTTCAGCCCGTTATCTTGCCCTGCTTGCTTCAGACAAACATTTGCTAGACAGCCCTCCCTTAAGCACACAAAGAGAGGGGGCAGGATCTTCGTGCAAGTGTCTGCTCATGTCTTATGACTGCCAAAGTCTAGGAAGAAATCCCCAACTTGGGTAGGTTTGAAGACCTTATTCTTGTGGCTAAGATTCCTACCCTTACTTTTTTTTGTGCTGAGAAGACAAATGGGGAAACCTCTTTAAATACACTGAGCAGAGCGAAGAAGATGCGAGTAGTAACATTACAAGTTGTTTGTCACTACTG